TCGTCACCTCCCTGACTAAGACCCTTTTCCCCCGGATTGCTCAGTTTGGCCAGGCGGCCAGCTCTAGGAAGAGTCTTGCTGGTTCCAAACTTCTTCCATTTAAGAATGATGGAGGCATCTGTGTTCTTGGAGACCTTCAATGCTGTTAGTGAGCATCATCAGAAACATGTTGGGTCATTTTCACATCATCAGAGTGCGAAGGCTGAACACTGTATACTGGAAGCACTCGGTTTGTTATTTTAACTAAAACATCACCAATCTTTGTTAAACATAAATACCAAACTTGTTTTTGCTTGGATTCCGCAACGCTAGGATCGCTATTTCTTGTCCCGGAATCCTGCTGACAGGTTAAAGTCTGCTTGAAAGAGCCGCTAACCTCACTAAGCTTCTAACGTTAGCTATCAAGCTAACGAAGTTAGTGCCAGATAAGTTTTCCAATGGAGAGGTAAATGAACGGTTCCAGCGCTGTAGGAGCTGTATCTACTATGCTTTGTTTCGGGACAAACTGGATCACTCAGAGTTCCAATGCGGCAATTGTTTGCTTGCCGAGGATTATAGGCTTGAGGTGGCTTCCTTGATCACGTAGGTAGCTAGCCTACGTAAGAAATTGGGGAAAACACAGAGTGGAATGTTAACCTTTTCTACGCCAGAAGGCGTTCGCGCATGTTGGATGGATCTCCGTCTTGTCATTTGTCATTATCCGACTGGCCGGTGTTGCCCGGAGTTCGTTCGCCAGGGGAGCCATCTCCTGCCTCTCCTCCCCCATCTGATATTGGAGTCAAAGGAGCACAGCAAGAGGAGCATGGCAATCAACGATGGTCGCATGTCACGAGCCGTGGAAGCCGAAGAAAGTGGCCTGCCGCAAAGCAGCCTACACTCCCAATGAGAGGCCTGGAGCGGATACAAACAACCTGTGTCTGCGGCCACTGTGCCTACTTCTACTCCTACTCCTACTCCTTCCCCTATGATTTTGAAGTCGACGTCGGCAACCTTCCGTCCCTGCTCTGGATCGAGCGGGGCTTCTCCATCTGTCGGAGAACTGCACCATCCTCTGAAGCGTGGGCGTGGGTGGATTTCCACGTCCTTCTCACCAGCCATGATTTTGGGCAGCTCCATGGTAAGAAAAGTGACTGATCCTGGTGCAAAAACAATGTCCTATCCCGGAGCTTGAGTAAATGACATTACTAAACTGCTCCCGAATCCACTACGCTAGGACATAGACAGCGATTCTATTGTTGTCCATGTGGGTTTTAATGACATTATGAAGGGCAGCTCTGAACAGTTGAAACTGGATTTCAAAGACCTAATTGACTCTGCTAGACACTAACAAAAGACCCATCATTTCTGAATCTGTGCCCTCTCTGAATCGTGGCATTGAACGCTTTAGCAGGAATCTTGCTCTTCACAACTGGCCACGTGATTATTGCAGCTCAATGGGTGTAATGTTTGTTGACAATTTCGATACCTTTTGGAAACAAAAACGTTTTACAAGGAGGATGGGATCCACCCAAATCATTTGGGTTCCTGGATCCTTTCACAGCATTATAAGGCTGCGTTGAGACAATGACTTATCAATGACCCAAGCCCAGTTCAGTTAATCCCTACCATTGTGTCGCTGAGTCATCATAATGCTTTTGTAAATGTACATTATACCAGGGGCATTGGTAGACACAATGTAAGTAACCTAATTTATGTCCCTCTAACTGCCCTGAATGCCTCTGCTGATCCTACAGCTATTGTATGCAAAATCATGTATCTATGAACCAGATTTATGCTGTTAGCACTGAGGCGGTGTGCCCATGGAGGAAGTCCACTGTGTGCAGCTCACCCTGCATTAACATAAATAACATGAAAATATCTACTTCTGCTAAGCTTCCCAGTAAAGCAATGAAAACAAGCAAGCATCCCAGAAAACTGCTCAAAATAGCCGACGTTAACATATGTCACTTAAGAAACAAGGTTCATGAAATTAATAACTTGATAGTAACAGATTACATTCATATTCTGACTATCTCTGAAACTCACTTAGACAATACCTTTGACGATACAGTGGTAACAATACAAGGTTATAATATTTACAGAAAATACAGAAATGCCAGTGGTTGCTGTTTATATTCAGAACCACATTCCTGTAAAGATTAGAGAGGATCTCATGTTAAATACTGTTGAGGTAATATGGCTACAGGTTCAACTGCCTCACTTAAAGCCCATTCTTGTGGGAAGCTGCTATAGACCACCAAGTGCTAACAGTCAGTATTTGGATAACATGTGTGAAATGCTTGATAATGTATGTGATATCAACAGAGAGGTATGTTTTCTGGGTGATTTGAATATTGACTGGCTTTCATCAAACTGCTCACTCAAGAAAAAGCTTCAAACTGTAACCAGTGCCTGCAACCTGGTTCAGGTTATCAGTCAACCTACCAGGGTAGTTACAAACAGCACAGGAATGAAATCATCAGCATGTATTGATCACATCTTTACTAATGCTGCAGAAATGTGCTTGAAAGCATTATCCAGATCCATCGGATGTAGTGATCACAATATAGTAGCCATATCTAGGAAAACCAAAGTTCCAAAAGCTGGGCCTAATATAGTGTATAAGAGGTCATACAATAAGTTGTGTAGTGATTCCTATGTTGTTTATGTAAATAATATTTGTTGGTCCGCGGTGTGTAATGAGGAGCAAACAGACGTTGCACTTGACACATTTATGAAATTGCTTATCCCAGTTACTAATAAGCATGCACCCATTAAAAACTGTTAAATCTCAGTGGATTGATGAGAAATTAAAAAAGTGTATGGTTGAGAGGGACGAGGCAAAAGGAATGGCAAATAAGTCTGGCTGCACAACCGATTGGGAAATGTACTGCAAATTGAGAAATCATGTGACTAAACTGAATAAAAAGAAGAAGAAACTACACTATGAAACAAAGATAAATGACATAAAGAATGATAGTAAAAAGCTTTGGAGCACCTTCAATTAAATTTTGGGAAAAATTGCAAACTCAGCTCCATCATTCATTGAATCAGGTGGCTCATTTATTTCAAAACTGACTGATATTGCCAACTACTTTAATTATTTTTTCATTGGCAAGATTAGCAAACTTAGGCATGACATGCCAGCAACAAACACATCCATGTATATCTGACCAAATTATGAAAGACAAGAATTGTAATTTTGAATTCCGTAAAGTGAGTGTGGAAGAGGCTTTGAGTAAAGCCAGTTTGTCTATGTGTAAAGCCAGTGTGTCTATGTATGCGAATGACTCAACATTATACACGTCAGCTAGTACAGCAACTTAAATGACTGCAACACATAACAAAGCGCTGCAGTTAGTTTCAGAATGGGTGGCAAGGAATAAGTTAGTCCTAAATATTTCTAAAACTAAACGCATTGTATTTGGGACAAATCATTCACTAAACCCTAAACTTCAACTAATTGAGCAAGTTGATGTGACTAAACTGCTTGGAGTAACCCTGGATTGTAAAGTGTCATGGTCAAAACATATTGATACAACAGTAGCTAAGATGGGGAGAAGTCTGTTCATAATAAAGCTCTCCTCTATCTTCTTAACAGCACTATCAACACGGCAGGTCCTACAGACTCTAGTTTTGTCGCACCTGCACTACTGTTCAGTCGTGTGGTCAGGTGCCACAAAGAGGGACTTATATGTCCTGAATGTCACTGTACAAGCATAACAACATTTGTCATTGGAGAAGAGCAAGTATTGAGTCTCAACCCAATATGTATACTAAGCATACTGAATACATCACATTACTATCTCACATCGCATAAACCTTACATATTATCTCGAAAAGTGTATCTTCTTACATAAGCGTACCTTCCCACAGGGCACAAACTGATTAAATCAATGTTGTTTCAACGTCATTTGTCAATGTATTGTGACGTGGAATCTACATGTAAAATACATTTGATTTGAAAAAAGTCACCAACTGTTGTTTTGAGGGTAAAATTCCAACCACAGGATTATGTCATCATGGTAACCAATATTCAACATAGACAAACCTTGTATAAATTATGTTGAATTTGTACCTTCGAAACAATGTCAGCCACTATAAGAAAAATAAAATAAAAAAATATAATGAAGTTGTCATATGCACCAGATAGTTGCAATGAAATGTGTTGTTTTACAGGGTGCCCCTGGAGCAAACACTAACTGCTAGGCTACCTGCCGCCCAAATAGGCTGGATATTGATACCCAATAGGCTGGGTAGCACCTCCTACTGGAGAGTTGATTTATCTACAGCTATCCCTTTGGTCTCCCATCCAGGGTTTTAACAAAGCCCAGCCCTGTTTAGCTTTGATAGTTGTCACTGACTATAACCAATGTGCTATCGTGATAATGATTGTTGAGAAATCTCCGCTTAATAGATTCACTGTTGCTATCGAAGTCATTCCAAATGGTAGGTTCAACAGACCAAATGAAATGTAACCATACTTTATCAATCATATATCATCAATTATGCTATTTAGGCCTATATAGCATCTGGGAAGTCATCAACAGCTGTTGTTTAAATTCAGCCCAGGATTCAACAAAAAATTGACAATAGTGTAGGTCTAGGGTTTCAAGCTTCGGTTGATATTAAACTTAATAATAAATATGTTGGATTCACGTCTCTATCTCAACCAAAAATCGAAGTAAAAGAAACTGGAATTAAAGCCAGACTCAGTGGCACAGATGGAGCTATCCAAGCAGAAGAAACATCTTCATATGTTGATATTTGGTTGCCTCGCCCTCCTTTGTGTTTGCAACCCCAGTGAGTTTATTCTCAGCACTGTTAACTGTAATCGATGTATGTACCGAATTGAAGTATGTAAGTCGCTTTTTCCTCAGATGTATCTGTGCTTCTTCCAAAACGCTTCATTATCCATTACTCATTACCCCAGAACTGAGGGAACTGCCAAAATACTTTTTCTCTGGCCGAAGAACTTTCTATTTCAGTGCTTTGGTTTGTTTGGCTTTGAACTTTGAAATATGAAGCGGGTGTTCATGAAAACTGGAGTAGGCCTAAGAAAATGAAGGGAAAAGGTCAAATAAACTTAGCGTTGTGTTCTGTAGCTCTCCTGCAAAGCCAGACCTACTGTTCACAACGATGTTGTTGTTCAAGTTGGCTTGATCTTGCCTACTTATTCTTCCCTCACCGAAGGTTATGGCCGATTGTTATCTTCCAAGGTCCTAGAAAATAAGGTATTTTTGTCTTAAATTAAATTATCTATGGCCTTTGGGCTGTCTGAAAAAACATTTCTTCTCACATTGGAACATGGACAAAGCACTGTTCTCCCAAGACCTCCCCTTGTCCAAGTCTGGTCATTCCCTGGGGAGTGTTGCAGACAAAACTTTAATATCATTCCATTCCATGTGAATGATGTAATCTGTTGATGAAAAAGGATATTCTACATCAAAATATATGTTCAGCAACTGTGCTATAAAGGGAAATGTGGATGGATGTGTAACCAAGCCAGTGCAGCACAGCTCAGCTTGGATTGGCTCGGGCTCAGTATTGTGAATCAACCCTATTTCTCTCCATGTGTTTCATGTCCCTTTCCATCTCTATCTTCCCCTACAACAGACATACATCGGCTCCATCCTGGCTGCGGTGAACCCGTACCAGTCCATCCCTGAACTGTACGACCGGACGGCAGTGGAGAAGTACAGCCGACACCACCTGGGCGAGATTGCCCCGCACATCTATGCCGTGGCAAACGAGTGTTATTGCTCCCTATGGAAGAGACTGCAGAACCAGTGTGTGTTAATCAGGTGAGTGATGATCGTGATGAGTGGTTGTTTTGCTGACTTTATTTGAATACACTGATTGTAAGTCACTCAGGGTAAAAGCATATGCTATGAGAAACACTAAATGACTTAAATGATGTGAGGTCATTTGAAGAAAAATGAATGAGAAACGTGATTGGGTAGTCTGCCGTCAGGTGAGAGAATGTAGAGAACTCATTGGCTTGTCATTTTGTGAGATGCAATTGGTGGGCAACTTTATGGCCTTTGGCATCCACAGCGATCCAATTCAATTTCAAGTCTCAGTCTTGGTGCTATTGGCTCCTTCTCGGAGGGTCCTAGCCCCCCCCCCCCCCACCTCGTTTCAATCTCCATGCTCCTTTGGTTCCTCTAGTTCCTCTCGAACATCCTTCCTCTGCGATTGTAGTCGGCCAACTTTCTCATCCGGCCTTGCGCTATTGTCTTCAGACATACAGACAGACAGGCACTGTTCTCATCGCCCACATCAAACACACAGAGTTATTTTTACCGTTTTGGAATGATAATATTCAGTCCACATTTAGCTGAGAGAGTGGATGCCAAAATACTTTTTTCTCGGTTAGATATGCTGTCTTATTCTTAGCTTTGCAGAGTGAGCAGCTCACTCTGCACCCGCTGTCAATGCGGAGTTTGAAAAGAATGGGATAGAATAGAAAGACATTTACATTTTAGTCATTTAGCAGATGCTCTTATCCAGATCGAATTACAGTTAGTGAGTGCATACATTTTCATACTGGCCCCCCGTGGGAAACGAACCCACAACCCTGGTGTTGCAAGCGCCATGCTCTACCATCTGAGCTACAGGGGAGCAGAGATGCCAATAAGTGTATTAGAGCAGAAGTATAAGAGAATGGTCCCGTTCAATAGGCTCAAATGAGAGAGCTATTACCTGAATTTGTCCAATAAGAACACTCATTTTGGTTTTCAGTTTCAGAATGTTTTTCCGTTTCATGCCTACTTAACATGAGGATGCCTGGGGGTGAAAGGTCACACACAAACTGGGCATACAAATAGTGTTATAAACATACATTGTTATGGGTCATAGAGTACATTATGGCTCAGTTGCGCAAGTCCCCATTTAGGTGACACTGTGGTGGCTCTTGTGCCCTTAAGCAAGTCGGGGCATGCTGTTTTAGATACAAGTGTTGCAGTTACCAAGCAATTCGCCCACATGAGCTTACAGCCCTGTTTGATGGCCACTTATGGAAGCCATGAGATGCTGAGGTAACGAGAGACACATGTATACTTTTCAACTGCTCATATTCAGAGGTCCTGGACTACTTAGCTTACTTAGGTTATGTTCCAAATGGCACACTATTCCCATAGGCCTCTGGTCAAAAGTAATGCTCTATGTAGGGACTAGGGTGTCATTTGGGACGCATGCTTACTGTTGGAAAATGAAAAGTGTTTTATAAACATTTTATAAAGACAAGGGTGATGAGGATACGCTTTAACTTCCTGCAAATGTTGTCACATGGTCATGTGGATAATATAATTATCACGTGTTGATAAAGTAATGCAATTATATATAGAACATTTAGGCCTCATAATTTTTGTTATTTAGATGTAAGCGATTAGATTAATTTGATACAATTAGATAACTTGTAATAGGGTTGTGTGTGACATGATCAGTTATATAGCTCGCCACTTAAAGATTGAAATTGCAGGGGAAACTGATTACCAGTATCATGAAGAAAATTTACTTTAGTTCATTACAAAGTCCTATTCCAGACATGCTCACATTTATTCCTTTGTTTAATTGTATTGCAGTGCGGTTTGTTTTTCTTAAACTCAATTCAAACGAAAAATATTTTGGGGGGTTCACGAACAAGCGTGCTCACGCTGGAAATAGAATAAGTGAATGAGAGAAAACAGACGGCCCGCGAGCGTCAACGACGTCTACGGCTTCATAGTGCCTCAAATTAGAAAGCAAGTCTATTTTTCTCGTGTCTACGTGGAGCAATGCTGGTAAAGTATGCAGACACATTTTGTAGAAAAGGAATTAGAGGAATTTTTATGATCTTCCCTATGCTAAGTAGATTAAAGATGTCGTTAACAATGTATTGGGCTGTAAACTAAAGTTTATCAGTCAAATATGCTATATATTTGAAAACAATTGCAGCGTACCTGTGTTGATTTTGATGATATAGCCTAGGCAGGCTATAGCTGGAAAACTCGAGGACTCCCATTTCAAGAGAGAACACTGTTTATGTAGAAAGAACGAGATGTAGTTGTTAAACATGGCTCGGGTTTATTAGAAACAAACAACATCCTCACAATAACTGTTTAGCCCAGGTACGGTGGCTCCCGTAGGACATCTAAGGTCAAAAGGAACTCACAAGATTAACTCCCTGGGGCTAAATAGCAAACAAAAACAACGGTTTATTCTGGATTTTCATGACAATTACGTTGGCATATGCTATGCAGTGTATGTGAATTGACGCTCGCTACTCTCGCACGCAAATTTCACGTTGTTGATGGGCGTCTCGCCGTGTGATTTTGGCTTTAGGGTCACTGTATACAGCATAACGCACGATTGTCTTTGACGATAGATGGGATGTGGGAGGACTATTCACCAAGGCGTGTGAAGTGGGGAGCAAACACAAACATAGGATATTATGTACTCAGATAATGGGAGGGACAGACAATGGTGCCATTCTGTTCTAGCCTGGAGTTAGGGTTGCACATGTAGAAAAGGAAGCAAAACCCAAAAAGAATTGTGGAAACCAGGCTAATGACCTTGTGTTGCTGTTATACCGTTTAAATGTTAGGCTTACACTTTGATCTGGTGAAAGACTGAAAAGTACAATAGTTTGAATGTGGAATTCACTAAAAGTGTGAAAGAGAACACTGATTCTAACACATAAAAAGGCTTTATTGCTCATTTCTGAAAATGTATCAAATTCTGAGAATGTTATAGTGCAACATTGATAAACAACTGTGTTTCCACTTTTACAATACACTTTCGTCAGCACATAAATCGCTAAATACTCATCAAGAATAAGTAGCCTAAACATACTGGAATCATTGTCAACACTCTTTCGTGCTCAAGTGTTTGACACATCACTGATGCAGAGTATGTGTACTTGTTCAACACAGCAAGTACACGACAAGGCTGTGTTTTTGAACGTTTAAACACCTCATTTGTTTTTGAGCCTTCTACTAACTCCTTTCTCCCAGCCCTAACCTAGGCCTGGAACTGGTGTATCTCCTTAGAAGTAGGGTGAAGTTGCCCTTAGACACTGATCTTATGTCCGTTTTACATTTTCTCCACTTTGGTGGAGGGGAAGCTGATCCTAGATCTGTACCTAGGGGAAATTTCACCCCAGAGGTGTGAGTCTGTGAATAATTGAAAAGTCCAACACTAGAATGGAGTGGTAATTACTTATTAGTGTTTGTCCTAAGGGCGCCATGGTAGCTTACTGCTAAGTAGCTGTCCTGAGGGTGTCTGCATACGGCTAACTGCTAACCGATTGTCCCTTAGAAGGTTGGACTCACTGTTCTGTTGGTTAGCCATTAGTGGGATTCATAGGGGTGAATCCCAATAGTCTAAAATGGCTTCCTTTGCTACATGCCCCCTTGGACTATTCCTCGTTCTCACTGATTTGAAGGAACTGGATAGGAGTAGCACCGAGGACATTGAGTTGCTCCCATATTGTGCTCAACTATCCGTTTCATTTCGTTCAATGAGGACGAGGAAAGAGAACAAAGGGAAGGGAGCCATACATTGGGATGCAACCATTCAGCTGATGGGAGATCCTCTTGGTAGAAGATGCAAGGTACAAGGCAATTAATTGTTTTTACCCTAAAAGTGCCAACCTGTTTTTGAGCCCCAAATTGATAATAATTGCAAAGAGACACAAGCAATAAAACTTTTGCTTTTATTAACTTTTTGCAACAGAAGTTGTTGGTTTTAATTCCCCCAAATAAGCATAGATTTTAACTTTTTAACTTTGAAGTTATTTTGATCAATTTCATCCATAGCAACAACATTTTTCTGGTATTCATTTAAAGTGTTATGTTTCTGTGATACTCAGAGGCTGAGAAATTGGTGATTTCAGTGGTAAAAAAAATAAATCAAGTCAGAGGCCGAGGCAACCCTGTAATGTCTAATGATTAATGTTGTATGACAGCCAAGCCGACTGTGGTTCAGTGATTGATGGAGAATCACCCCAGGCGACTCCTCAGGTGCTTGCTGCGCACCAGCCATCTAATCTGTCAGGTTAGCCATTTATCACCTGTGTTTAGAGAGCTCATGTTGGCTCAAGCTCGAATTTTCGGATTTTCACTGAGAATCTTAGTAAGACTTTCAGGAAAAACCTGCATTCAATTGTTTTTTTATAAAATGGACAGTTATTGACACTTTGAAATGTTGGTATAGGCTACAGAGCAAAAAAGTGTCCACATTTTAAAACCACAGCCTATGCACTAGTCCCATCGTTCCCAAACTTTTCTGGGTCACGACAAGCTACCGTTAAACCTTTTGAATTTCCATGTGACCCACCAAATAAACAGAAGTATTTCGTCATGCACCCATTATTTTAGAGGTGGCACGAAGTATGTGAGGATGGAGGGGGGGGTGGAGAATTTTTCATTTTTCAAACACCTGAAACTGCTTTTTCCTGCAATTTTTCTGCATAGGTTATCTAAGCATACCTCTTTACATGTTCAATTGTCATTTTATTGAGGGTGTCATTCTGACTGTTGTAAATCACACATCTTAATATACTGCAATAAAATGCCTAGGATATTACATCCAAATTACATCACAGTACATGTACACATCATCAATACAATATCATGTCATCATAATAAATGCACAAATTTAAACCAAGTATTTTTCTGCATATCTAAGAATACCTCTTGAGCTGTCTGTACTCCTGACTGGTGGTTCTTTTTTTAAAGAAACTAAATATGCTTCTCTGCATCTCTGCTAAAATCTGGGTAAAATATTGGAAGGAATGTGAGTCTTATTCAGTACATTTAGTAACTGCTTTCTTTTCTAAAGCCTAACAACATTGCCAGCAGGCAAACCAGCTAAGATAGTTAGACAAGCTAGCTACTCTAACTTGATTGATAGCCTGAAATGGCTTGGTAGCTAGTTATGAAGTTGGGAGATTGGGAACCTATCTAGCTGGCTAGCTAAAGCCAACTTCATAAAATTGGTAGGTGGCTAGTATTACAAAGAAACAACAAAACATGTTTGTTGTATTTATTAATCAAGAAGGACTCAATAGGCTACATAGCTTGATCAAATTCATTTACAAACACGCCTGCGAGTCCTGCCCATCACCGGCAGCTAAAGTCAAATCAAATGCTGTGTGTGTCACACTATACTCTCTCTCCTCCTCCTTTGGCGATACTGTCTGCACGCACTAGGGTATCTAGCGTCCTGCCTAGCATATCTTTGCTCCGTGGTGCACCTTGGAAGAACCACTTACTAAGGGAGGAGGGGGTACTCTTTCCCCGTCCGCAAAATACCGCTGACAGATCTTTTTATAAATATTTATGATAAAATGTGTGCTTGAAATTGTGGGCCTTCCGAGTGGCGCAGTGGTCTAAGGCACTGTATTGCAGTGATAGAGGCGGCACTACAGACCCTGGTTCGTTCCCAGGCTGTGTCACAACCGGCTGTGATCGGGAGTCCCATAGGTTGGCCGTCATTGTAAATAATAGTTTGTTCTTAACTGACTTGCCTTTTTAAAAATTATGTTTAGTAATTATTAAAAAAATTTAAATTCAGTCATTTAGCAGACGCTCTTTCCAGAGCGACTTCATACATTTTCATACTTTTTTTGAATTGGTTCCCCGTGGGAATTGAACCCACAACCCTGGCATTGCACACGCCATGCTCTACCAACTGAGCCACACAGGACCAAAATGTAAGAGCAGGACAAATCTGAGGGAGCACGTGCCCTTGTGCACCCTATGGGCATGACGCCTCTGCCTGTGACCCTGAGTG